AGTGCCATTATGGCACCGGATACCGGTACCCATCCCTAGTTGTGTATCTGCTCTTTTTTTAACACCTTTATTATTATTGAGGACTAGAAATGTGTGAGGCTCAACTGTAAACATTAATAATGAAGACTGAAGTTTACATCTGTCATGGGCTGGGTTGTGTGACCCAGTGTTTGAGTTTTATGTATTTTTGTATCCATTTTTGATCTAGTTAATTTCTAGGTGCTATTTAGGCCTTCATTTCTTAGTTGTTTCTGTCATCTCCCCCTGTACTCAGTCTCCCTGATTCGTGCGTCTACCTGCCATGTTTCATGTCTGTGTGGTTATGTGAAGTTCATGTCATGATTTATCTTCATGTCTCTGGGTTTCCTGTTTTATTTTGAAAGCGTCTGGTGTTCTTTGTTCACTGCATTTAGGTTTACTCTCCCCTGTGCTGTAATTATGTTTCATTCTAGTCAGCTGTGTCCTCATGTGTCTCCACTTCCCCTGATCACCTCATGTGTGTATTTAGTCCTCAGTCTTTTTGTGTTCAGTGTCGCGTCGTCTGTGTTCTCACCTCCATGTTTTCACGGTCAGTCTTTGCAGTGATCATCATAGTCTCTGAGTCTTCTTAGTTTGTCACAGTATTAGTTTTCCCAGTTTAGTTATAGTCTAGTTTAGTCACGCTATCCCTGCTTTGTTTGTACACTTTGTCTTCAGCCATAATAAAGGCTCGCTTTCTGTAAAGTTCACTCCCGTCTACTCACCTGGGTCCATCACACACACCACCGCACGGCCTGTCTCTGCAGACCGTGACAACATCATTGTTATAAAACACATAAAAGATCTGATTTACCAGTTTTAGCATGGCGATGATTGATTAATACTGTAACACTGTAAAAGGCAGATGAAAACAGGTAGTCAGGTAGAGGAAATGTTTCTCTCACTCTAACTTTTTTTTGCAGTTGCATTTGTTGTAATTTGTGAAGATGTTATAATATTTGTTGATTTTATAAATTAGTGCAACTCTTCTCTAATGGCTTGTTGTTTTCTTTCAGCAATAATGTCACCGAAAAATGGCAAGCCCAACTTAAGCCATTCCCAGGTATCTGAGATTGTGAAGAGGCTCTACCGGCTGACTGCATCAGTGATTAAGTCTCTGCCCAGTTATGATGACCAGAACTTCTATGTGGCGCCCAGTGAGGGTGGCGAGTATATCCTGAAGATAATGAACTCAGAGGACAGCAAGAATACCTTGCTGATTGAGGTGCAGACATACACCATGTCCTTCCTACAACAGAATGGAATTCCTGCTCAAACCGCGCTGCCCAACACCTCAGGAGAGCGAATGAGTCTGGAGGAAATTGGTATGTGACCAGCCACGTTGTTCAGATCTGAATAATATCGTTACCTGACATGACATAAAATTTCATCCATGCACAATGAAGGCTGTGTGACTGCAGCCTGGCACTCGGTGTTCAGTCAGTCAGGCTCAAATTGATCCTGACTCATGTCAAAATGCTTCGTAGCAATTTCCCTCTAAACATTCGCTGTTGAATCACAAGTGATTATAATTAGAAATTGTTTGTTTTTCAGTAACATCTAAAGATAATGCACGATCTGATATCCTCGTGTTGGTGTTGTTCCCAGATCATCATACTAAAGGTTGTTC